TTCTGAAGGATCACCTGCGACGCCCGACCAGCACGCACGATAGCTGAGATGAGTTTCCACACCTGCCGCCGAACTTCCAGAGGAGCTCCCACGCGGCCTTTGACACCATCCACGTGAGCTCCCCACGCACGGAAAGTGGTCAACATGCGGAACTCTTTATGGACTGCACGTTGCAAACCAGCCTCGTCGTATGCTTCCTCGGCCAGTTTCACCTTCACCACGTCCTCGTCGTCCTCACGGGGCTCTAAAGGCTGGAAAGAGTCATCGAGCGGGACCGGTGAAGACAATCGAACCTTCGCTGTGATCAGCAAGTCGTCGAGGTACACACCCTCCCACACATCAGAACGAGGAGCATGCCGACCATACACCAAAACGTTTTCTGGCCTAAGAAGCCCTTTTCGTTGTAAAACTCCTTCATGGGTCGCCTGCGCAATCGCACATCCATTCACATCACCCATGCCGAGGACCCTGAAGCACAGCCTATGAGGAATACGAGGATCACCACCATGTCGAGCCACCACTTCCGAAGAAACACGCCTGCCAACCGAGTTGTACTTTATCCAATTCGGGGGCAATCTCAACGAATAGTAGTAGTTGCGCAAGTCATCACCTGAACCCCTCAAATACTCATCGTCCTTTAAGAGCATACGAGTAAAACAAGCAGCACTAGGTAGCCTCGCCCAATCCAACTTCGGCATCGTGCCATTCTCGGGCCGCCTGTCATAAATCAAGCGATCTTCCTCAGAGTTCTTTGGCACACTAAACAACCCACCAGTCAGTAAGCATCCCTGGCTATCCCGGGGCAACTCCGCCTCGGGCACAAGAACAGCCATCTGAGTGGCCAGGAGCCGTTCTGCCACATCTGCTTCCTCCCGTTCGGGCACGTTGTGAAAAGACTTCGTCACACCATCCCACAAATGCTCAGGCCGCCGTAGCTTCTCAAGAGATGCCACAACTTCAGCTCTATCAGCCGGCAACCAATCAAGAGGATCAACTCGGCCAGCCTCGGCGGGGACCGCCACGCGTTCCGCGACGACGGGGAGCGCCGAAGACGCCGAAGGAGCAGGGCCAACCTGGACATCATCAGGGTAGCCCGCTCCAGCACAAGGGACCTGGGAAAGAAGCTCCTCCAGCACAGCTCGTTTACCGTCACATGGAAAAGCCTCCAACACCAAGTCACTGCAACCGAATTCCTCCAACTCGCCAAGCAGCCTATCTGCAAAAAGCCTTGCGTCTTGTACGCAGCGATAGCCCACTCGCGGCTCGCACGCAGCACTGCCCGGAGAAGGACAGCCGAGGGTGACATAGTTAGACCACGCCACCAAAGTGTTCAAAGCAGCCCGGGCCCACCAAGATGAAAGCTCGGACTCACCTTGCAGCACCTCAGTCGAAAGGACCTCCGGGTAGGGCAATGCGCACGGGAATAGAGATGTATCACTGCCGGACCGCTCCAGCAAGGTACCTTGAGTGCTCTGGAACCAGGACAAGTAACAAAGAAACTTTGAATTCCGATTCGGCAGGGACGGGTGCCTAGGGCATCGGTCCCCAAAACCATGCAGCTTCTGAGTGGATTTCACTTGCGGGAGCCGGTGGCCGGCGCATCGTCCTCCTCCGCTTCTCCCTGCTTTTGAGCCTCGGCGACCTTTTTCTTCAGCTTGAAGACCGCCTCCTGATACCCTGAGATAATGGCCATCTCCTCTTTCGTACCGGCCCATTCTTTCCGATGAAGAGGGTCCGGAAGACCCGTCAGCAACCAAGCCGACGTCCAATCGCCCCCGCTGATGACCGACTGCATCTTGGCCTTGAGGTTCTGCACGGTCTGGGCCGT